TCCGGCTTTGCAACTTGTCCGAGCCTCGTCCTATTTGGGATATGACACTAACAGAAAGAAGTCCCGACTAGCGTGCACTCCTCAAGAGAGAGAAGAGAGGGGTTTCGTAGCAGTTTATATATACAGTTTAGATAATATCAAAGCGGTAAAAAGCAACATTTAGCACATTAGGCCCAACCATGTAATAAAATCAGATAACAGATAAAGCCAAATACAACAATTCATCTAAGCTCGAATTCTGAACCCTAAACCAGAGATTCTGGGTTCTTTTCCCCAGCAAAGTCACCAGAGCTGTCACACCACCTTTTTTACTACACCCCGTAAAAGGTATAAGGATAAGGGAGTTTTTCCAATTAAAGGACAATCGAAATGAGATTTGTTTATTTTAAGATCAGAGTCACCACTTGGGATAATTTATGGTGTCCCAAATCACCAGTTTAATCCCGAATCGAGGAAAGGTTTGACTCTGTTTAACAGTCCGCGAACCAGAAATCCGAGTAAGGAATTATGTTAACCCGGGAGAAGGTGTTAGGCATTCCTGGGTTCCGCGGTTCTAGCATAGTTGCTCAACTGCTATATTCAGCTTAATTATCTGATTTTAGTACATGTTCAAACATATGTGCATTTTCAATCTTAGCCGCTTTTTATTCATTTTTAGAAGCATTGCAACGCTGTTAAAACATGTCTTGAACCACGTCACACAAATGCACCCGCGGCGTTCGACATATTTTAACATTGTCGAGATTTGGATTTGGGTCACATAAATGCGCACCCGAATTCAGGAAAAGTACTTTTATTAAAACAACGCGCCTAGAGTAACTACTCGTTTTTAGCTTCATGAGGGCCATGGAAAGTTCGCTAAATGGCATACCTCGATTTCTAAAGGATTGCAATTAATTAAGTGAAGGCCCTAAATTATACATTCCGCTATCAAGACACGCTTCGAATTAACTACAATGATCCACTAATTGAGTAAGGCTTGAACGAATTGCAGCTACTCCTAGACTACGATTAAATTCGAATTGTTGATTTAAGGGCTACTACTGGATGAGGCCTAATCTATATTCATTTCAGAGCATGAGCCTGACCCGAGGTCCAATAGCTAATAACCACGGCGAACATGGAGACCTGATTGGGCTAGACATGAAGCCCAAATCAAGAGCTTAATATGAAAGGGAACTGGGCGCAAAAAGGATCCAGGTTGATAGCCGACTCAATGTTACTGCACTTGAGGTCATCTTACACTTCCCCTACAACTCCGGCTTTGAACCAAATATATTTACACACGTTAAACAATTCATGCTAATAAGAGAATGTGTATATATAGTTTGAAAGCAGGTAGTAAATAAGGTAAAAATCAAAGTTCATCAGTAATTAGGGGGACTCAGAATCAATCAGTCATGAAATCAAGGCAAGTACTCCCTTTAATTGAGGAGTTAACTTCCAACGGTAATAAACATGTGACAAATAAGGAAGGAAATCGTATAAGGCTAAGCATAACTAATAAGAAAATATTTTCAGCACAGTACAAGTACATAACATATAATAGAGGCTAGGTTCAGCATATTTCAATCAAGGAAAATACTTAGGAAATCAATTAATAGCATAATTGACCATAGAATAAGGTCAGAAAATATTTTACAAGGTTAAAAATCAATAGAGGTATCATGCGAAATCAGTGAAAGATCAATCACAAAGACTCAAGGATTAAAAAGTAGAAAATAGCACTGATTTAGCATAACTTTATAAGAACAAGCACATAGTAAGCAAAAACCAGAACTCTAAGAGGTGGAGTAGGACAAAAAATATGTATAAATTAGGGATTCATGTAGAGCATAGTCTGAATTAGTAGAATAAGCATGATACATGTAGGAGAAGTGAAGAATCAGTAACATTGGTGAACAAAATAGGGAAAAATCACACAATAGGCAGGGATAACCATAATTAGGAACCTTAACAAGCAATCACAGGGTAAAATCACATAATAACAGAAACATATAGATTAACTGAACACGTTTTCAAAACAAAACTCAGAAACCCCAAGATTAGAACTAAGAAATTAGGGTTTTCAACAGAGGCGAGTTGAAAAGGGAGTAAAATCATAGAATCAGTCAAAATATGCAAGAGATAGAAGTTTAAACATAAAAAATCGGTTTAAACAAAATTTTAAAAAGAGTTCTGAAACCCTAATTTTAGAAGAAGACGAAAACACTTTGAAATTGATTATTTCAGTTTTGTGGCCTCATATTTTTTGAGACAAAGACAATCCCGCTTCTAGTGATCCTTCATATTTTTGATTAATTCCATTAGGACGTGGAAAAACAATATACTCTCCTATTAATATTCATGCATAAAGGTTTTCCAGTATTCTTGAAGGTTAAGATTATTATATATAGTATAACTTATTTTCTTGCATGTTATTCATTCCTCACCTTCTAACATCTTCTTTCCATGAGTAAAGAAGTGAATATCTAGAATTTATTCTGGAATTCAGCTGTTTTAGGTTACAGTGGCACGTCATCTAACGGGCGTGGACTGTAACTACCCTAGTCCTTTCTAGAATATTGAGTTAGGAGGATGAGGCAGTTGTTCTTTGGCGTNAATGAGGAGAAGGCACAGCGTTGGTTTTCCAAGGTTTCTCAGATGAACAATGCATCTGATATCGATAGTGCAGCGGCTGATGAAGATTTTCCTGAAATAATGCCATTGAGGAAAGGAGAAAATAAATTTGTCGTGAGCACAAGGAAAACACCCTTGGAAAGGAGATTGGCGAACTCCCAGTACAACATGAACTTGGGTAACAATGTTATCCCAGAAGGTGAGACTTCGACTGGAGCTGCAAATAATATTATTGACACATCAATGAAGCAGAATATGGATCAAATATCTCGAACTAGTTATTTGGGTATTGCTGCTGATGAAAACACTGAGTCAGCTATTTATCATAGAGGAAAAAGTTCTAACCATGTTCCATTTGTGCCATTACCAACAGACATGTTTGATAAAAAGAATCAAACTTCAGTAATGGATGAGAAAGTGAATGAAAAAGTTGGTATCTTTCACTCTCCTGAGGCTAGTCACCAAACAAGTTCAGCAAGTGTCGGCAATGACTTTGGAATGTCCGTGGAGAAGTTGCAGTCAAATCGCTCATTCAGCAAGGATAAAGAGAGAGAACAAGCTGAGAAGTCAGCGAGCTGGTTCAAGAAAATTGCGGAGCTACATGATGTCAAAGACTTACCTAGTGCCATCTCTGATGATGACTTCCCAGAGATTATGCCAATGCGTAAAGGAGAAAACAGATTTGTAGTTAGCAAGAAGAAAGATCGTTCTTTGACTTCTCCAATGTACAAAAGACAAGTGGCTATGGAACAGGCAAACAATAGTAGCAAAGAAGAAACTATGCCTTAATCCAATTTAAAATCTTGCCAACTAAAATCCCATAATTAAATTAAGATTCATCAGTTATTGCAGACTTGCGACAATATATGAAAAGAGAAATATACCCATTTAGTTTCCAAAATCTAACTTACTAACGAGCAGCCATAGACAAACAAAGCAAAACAGAGCACATTTAAATACGGAGAACTCCGATGACTTCAACTTTTAACACATGCTCAATCTTAACTACGATAACATTAGCATAACATTCTAACAGATCTGCAATTTAAAAAAACAATGTTCACAGATATTAAAGTTGATGGCCAGTTCTAATAGCAGCAGAATCCAGGAGTTAAACAAAAGAAAAATCAACACACACTACATAAGAGTCCTACTACAGTATTAACATAAACCCAAGACACACTGAAAGAGAAAAAGAAACCAAAAGCCATAACATCTGATAACACCCTCTTCACTTTTCTTCAAAAATGCACTCTTTGAACCATGGCTTACATGCTTTAGAAATCAAGAGTATGTACCTGGAAATTGAAACAGGAAAAGGAATAGTGAGGGATCAGCAGAAGCAGTAAAGCAGAATTCAGCAGCGAGAGGTGATCAACAACCCAATTTCAAACTTAGGAAATGATATACAGCAGCCCAGAAATTAGTTTTAGTTGAACAACAACCCAGATTCAACCAACTTTCAATGAAATTGACTCAAGTTCAATGAAACAGTGGTTAAAACACAAAATCTGCCCCAGACTTTTTGACAAGAGACAGACTCAGGCCATTTATCACACTTGAATGAACCATATATTGCCTTAACAAGTTGAAATTCCAAAATTGGAACCAATCGAGCAGTCCTTATGTAGCCGTCCCTATTTCTCTATTTTAGTTCTTCCTTCTTAGGTCCTGGGTCTGCCTTGAAAGGCAAGAAAAGCTGCCTTTATAGGCAAGTTATTAGGGTAGCTAGATGAGGATCAGATTTGCACCTATACCCTTTTGCAATTTTTATTTTAGCTTAAACATCCCTAGTTCAAATTTAGTTTTTGCAAAGTAGTCCCCCCCAGCTTCCTAGAAGCTTCCCAAACAGTTACAAATAGATTCCCCCACTAAGACTAGCCAAACTAACCCCCATACCCCTGTTATTTACCTTAGCCTACTCATTGATTCAAATTAACCCATGGTCTAATTAACCAGACCCTTTAACCAGGTCAAAGATAACCATAGTTACTCGTTAGGGCTTGAAACACTCAGAAGTAACCAAATGAACCAAAGAAACTAATAAATCAAAAATTCAGGGAAGACACAATTACTTTCTGATTTTAAGCTTGAATTATTTTAATTACCCAACTCAGCATTGAACTCCTACTGTAAATTAACAATCAAACAAAGAAAACAAAATAAATTTAATTAAAACAGTAGTGACCTGAAATACTATAGGGTAAAGGAAAATGAGTAAGAAGAAAGATAAGGGGGGACAATCACAAATTTACAACACAAACGATGAGGGACGAGGACGAGATAAGAAAAATTGGACGGAAAAGCTAAGGAGACTCACTGATTCAAGCCTTGAACTTGACTGAACCTCCGATTAGATCTCTAAATAACGCCAATCGCTTGTACTTGGTTAAGAACAAGCAAATGATGTTATTTCGAGATAAAATCGACCCTCAATAACCTTGCATGCACTGGTCAAGTTTGGGCTTCTAGGTCTCAACCTTAGATTCAATATTCGACACATTCCAGACATATTTGAGGGGAATGGAGCGTGGATTTGGTACAAGGGGTCATGGTAGTTCTATGGCGTCAATTTGGTGGTGAACAGAGGCGGCGGCGCCACCGGAGGACATGAGGGCGACGCTAGGGTTTGTGACTTCAACCTCAGATTCGAGGGATTCTGAGTGTGTTCGAACGAAGTTTGGTTATGGATTGGGATTGTGGAAGGGATGAGGAGTTTAAGGTGTGAATATGGTGGTCATCGGAGGTGGCGCCGCAGGCCTGAGGTGGTGGGAATTAGGGCGGCTCTCCAGGGTTTGGCTTGGGGACGATGAAGTCTAAGAAATGAGGGGAGGTGCGAGATTCGGACACTTATATTTAAGGCAGTGTCAGTTATGGACCGTTTGATCAACTAAGATCAACGGTCCAGATCAAAGAGGACGAAACGGTGTAGTTTTGATTTTAAAGGCTGGATCGGGTATTAGGGACGGGTTTTGGGCCGGGTAAAGGGGTAATTTGGACAGGTCTAAAGGGGGAAATTAGTCTGGGCCTGGGTATATGGCCCGATTTGGCCTAAATTTTCCTTTTTCATTATTTCCTTCTCTTTCTTCTCTTTTTTTTTTTCAATTCATTTTTCTTTAAAAATTCTTTTTCTTTTCCCAAAATTTAAAATTAAAACCCAAATTAAATCCTAAACCCAATTATCCTACCACATTAAATTAATTAACCCTAATAATTGTTACTACAAATAATTAAAAACCAAATTAAAGGGAAAAACTACCAAAATTCAAAATTAAAATTAAAAGCGCAAATAAACTATTTTTGTGATTTTTTTTCATTTTTATAAAATAACTAATTTGTCAATTAATCCTAAAATGTAAAATTAAGTCCCAAATTCAAATGCAACATATTTTTGTATTTTTCATTTAGTAAAATAAACATGCACAGACAAATGCAAACAATTACAAACAAAAATCTACGAAATTGCAAACAAATGGAAAAATTATTTTGTTTTGAATTTATGGGAGTAATTCATATAGGGCAAAAATCACGTGCTCACAGAACACAGGTGTGACGCAACTTCCACAAAAGCGAGGCCGCAAAAGCGGTCTTGGCTCCACAGAAGCGGTCGTGGGTGAGTTAGCTGAGACCGCACCTGGGATGGAAATTTCCGTAGGTGCGGAGACGCAGAAGCGGCATGTGGACCGCAGGTGCGAGAAGCGGGCGCGGCATGTGGACCGCAGGTGCGAGAAGCGGGCTGGGCAGTGTGTTCTTTTTAAAGCAAGGGTTTGGCTCATTTTCACCATTTTTCCTCCATGGGAGCCGATTTGGAGCAACGTGGGAGTGCCATTTTCACCACCAAGCATGAGGTAAGTGGGTTATGTTAGTTTTGAGTTAAATACATTGATTTTTATATAGATTTTAGCATGAAAATTAATAGAAATTTGGAGTTGAGGGGAAAACCTAGAAAATTGGTATTTTCGGATTTTGACCACGATTTTGTGCATGAAATTGAGAGCATATTATATATTTGAGTTCATGAGGCTGTGCGTAAACTTTATCTTTGAAATATTTCAGAATCCGGGCATGTGGGCCCGAGGGAAATTTTGTCAATTTTCGACCAGGGTTAGAAATTGTTATAAATTGGGTTATTATGAGTAATTGAACATATTTTAATAGGTTTTCATAATTGTTGGCTAGTTTTGGAGCATTGTGCATCGATTTGAGTCTTCGGAAGGGTGTGGAATGCCGGTTATGGAACTTCAGAGCGAGGTGAGTCTTCTTTCTAACCTTGTAAGAGGGAATTGTCCCCATAGGTGAGTTAATTGGTTATGTGCTCCTATTTGTGGGTGCTACATACGCACGAGGTGACGAGAGTCCATGCGTAGCTACTATTATGCTTAATTCCGGGTAGTCTAGGGCCCAAAAGCATTCTTTACTTGTAATATTTGCAACCTTGTTGTCAATTTAAGAATGCTTAAACACATATCAAATGTATAAATAAATTTCTAAAAGGCTAGACATCATTTCTTGACTTTTAAAAGAGAAACTTGCATTTTCCTAAATAGTTCCTCCTTGATGAATTCTTGATTTGACTGTTTGAATGTGTTTATCTATTGTGGAACGGGCCGAACACCTCGGTAGATTAAATAAATGCATCTATGGTTCGCACCATTCGACCCTCTAGCAGTTCACAGTTTAAATATTATTGGATCGGGGCGTACGACCTCGGCATGATTTGCGCATGCTTGTATTGCTTGCCTTGATATTTATAAATGAGGATATTGCTTCCCCGGATTGAGAATAAATGTATAAATGATGAAAACGAATTTGGAAATTTTCCTATGAATAAAAGGATTGTTTACTTGCCTCATTCTATTGAGTTACAGCCATGTTTATAAAAATACTTGATTTCTTATATCATTGGTATATTGTCATTGGATTACTAGTAAGTGTCGAAGTCGACCTCTCGTTTCTACTTCTTCGAGATTAGATGGGATACTCACTGGGTACACGTTGTTTTTGTACTCATGCTACACTTGCTATGCATTTTTGTTGCACAGGTACAAGCACATCTAGTGGCCTCGTTGGGCGCAGTGGCATGGTTGACACGGAGACTTAGGTGAGCTGCCTCTCTCGAGACGATCCACAGCAAGCAGAGTCTCTTTCAGAGTATAGTAGTTCTTTTCTGTCCAATTGTATTCTGGACGGTTATCGTATTGTACTTTATTTCCTAAAAATTGCTCACGCACTTGTGACACTGGGTTCTGGGATGTCTATGGGATATTAGTATTTTAAAATTGTTAAAGGTATCATTATTTATTCAGTGAAATTTATTATTTATTCTTTAAATTTATAAAATAAATGATTTCAGAAATATCCAAAACAAGAAATTACTAGTTATTTGGGGTTGGCTTGCCTGACAATGGTGTCCGGCGCTATCACGACCCTTAGTGGATTTTGGATTGTGACATTATAAGTGGTTAAGCAAGTAGTTAGTTAGTAATGTAATGTGTATAAATAGAACAGTAGAAGAAGAAGTAGTTTGTACAGTACCATTCTTTCTTAGTTAATAACAGAATCTGTTATTCTCTTCTCTCAACTGTCTTCTCGAAGCTTCCTTCTCTTCTTCATCTGAGCTTCATCTTCCATAGCCATGGAAGTTAACAGTGATGTAAAGCTGAATGCATTCTTTCTTTCTTTTTCTTGCAATCAAGAAGGGAAAAAATAGGCGATAAATCATGTTCTTCGAAATGAATGAACTTCCTCTTAAAAATTTGTACACCTTCCTAATTTAACTGATGGAAAGC